CTAAACCCTCGTTAAGTAATTTCAGCTGCGCAGCAGCAAAAAGAAACAAAACAAATCAGCAGCAACGCCAAGGGGCCCTCAAACCCTCGTTGGGGGGGCCCCCGGACCCTGGGGGCCCCCAAAAAGAAAAAAAAGAAAGAGGGGGCCCCCAATAAAGAAAAAAAAAGAAAAAAAAAGAGAGAGGGGGGCCCCCCAAGCGAAGAAAAGAAGAGAGAGAGGGGGCCCCTAAAAGAAAAGAAAAGAGAGAGGGGGGCCCCCCGCTTACTTTGGGGGCCCCCCTGAGGGGGTGGGGGCCCCCGCAGCTAGAAGCAGCAGGAACAGTCAAAGGGGCAGTCGGGTGTACCCCCCCCCTGGCCTGCAGCAGCAGCAGCAGCAGCAGCAGCAGCAGCAACAGCAGCAGCAGCAGCAGCAGCAAACGCAGCAGATAGTATAGGAGAAATGCACACACTTGCTGCAGCCCCTATCAGCAAAAACAGCAGCAGATGCAGCAGCAACAGATGCAGCAGCAACGACAGCAACAGCTGCAGCAGCAACAACAGCGGCAGCTGCTGCTGCTGCTGCAGCAGCAGTAACGGGGAGCAGCAGCAGAACGATTGCCGCAGCAACTCCAGCCGCCACAAATGACAGACGTGTTAGGCAGCAGCAGCAGCAGCAGCAGCAGCAGCAGCAGCAGGGAGAGCAGCAGAAAGTGCATTAGCAAGAACAGCAGCAAGAGCAGCAGCAGCAGCAGCAGCAGCAGCAGCAGCAGCAGCAGCAGTACCTATTTTCAGCTCTTCTAGGGTGTATACGGGGAGGCCATCAGCTGTCCTTCTCCTGGGGGTTGCTGCTGCTGCTGCTGCTGCTGCTGCTTCTGCTTCTTCTCGCTGCCTCATGCGTCTTTCTTTCTTCCTTTGCTGCTGCAGTTTCAGCTGCTGCTGCTGCTGCTTCTGCTGCTGCTCTTGCTGCTGCTGCTGCTGCTTCTTTGCTGCCTTCAGAGGAGCGAACAGAGCCTCAATATCTTGCTTGCTGTTGC